ATCCTCGACTACGAATACTCCATTCGTCGTCCAGCATGCGTTGGATCGACGAAACATGGACGTTATCCAGGTGCAACATATATTCTAGGGTTGCCATTTTTTGAGATTTTCGCACAACGCATGTTCCCCCCAATTTTTTTTCTTCAGATTCAAGGTTTGGTGAAATACCAAAATCCCAAAGCCCTATTTATAGCCTTACTCCCAACGACTATAAACGGTTAGTGATTCAAAATGTTCGGCCGAACTCGTCACCTCGAGTTGACAAGTTTCATTGACCGTTGTTGCACCTTTGCCCGTTGAACAACGACTATATTTTTTAATTCAAAGAAATTCGTCACCTCGACATAATGAGTTCCATTATATTTTTTATTTTATAAATTTTTTTTTTTTAATTTAAAAAAAATATTTTTTAATGGACTCGTCACCTCAGCATGACGAGTCATTATAACCACAATTAAATAATAGCTCACACGGGGCCCACTACACAGGGACCATTAAAAATAATATCTGAGGGAACTCGTTACCTCGAGGCGGACTGTAACAAATGTCGTAGTTTGCTAAATAAAATTCAGATAGGCTCAATACCTAATTTGTTTACTCGCCTGGGGTATTAGGGCAAAAAACCAGTTATTCCAAGTCAAATAATCCAACCCAACTCGTGTTTTAAGTATTATTAGCTCAAAATTATTTTGTTTGATTTGTCGGAATTTTAACTCACTTATTTCAATTCTAAAAAATATATTTTTTTAGGAATTATTATTGTTTGTGTTTCGAATTTGAATATTGTGTATATAGGAATGTATTGTTGTTAATTATTAAAAGATTAAGTCTTTAAATTATATTAGATTAACATGCAATAACATGCACATGGAAAAAAGGGAACATAGTCTAAAACACATTATAAAACCCCTTTTTTCATTTAATAATTTTTTTATCCTCTAATTTTAAAGTTTCGCCTTTATTAATCTGAATCGATTTGGATTATACATATAGTTTTGGTGGGTGAGTCTCTCAGTGGATATTTTTACATACATAAAGACTCGAACTTGAAACCTTACTTAAACGATATCAAACTACTTACCACTTGAGATTTTCTGTAATTACCTATTCCACCTTTTGATTCACTTATTCATTTGTGTATGTATCTAAGCTAAGATATAATATGAATACTTTGTCCTAAGATTACATGCCGTAATAAAAAGGGTTTATATATATCTGATCTTTCTTGTCCCTCTGCAAATCTCCTCTCTCTCTCTCTCTCTCTCTGATTTTCCGAGTTAAAACCAAGAGTATATATCTTTGAAAATCAGTTGATATTCCAATTCTTCCTAGCTCGATCATGGTCCTTTTAGTTAACTTAGTGGTGCTCTTAGCACTCGCCGGACATTCAAGTAAGATCCTTGTGTTTCAACTTGAGATCCATACCATAGCTCGAGATTTCTGAGATGAGGATTCTGATAGATGTTTCAGAAAACACTGGATTGTGCATGTGGAGCAGGAGCCGATTGTTCTCAGATTAATCAGAATGGTGGTGGTTATAATCCCAACACTGAAAGATCACAACAATTATGCAGTCGATAGTTATTTCCAGAAGAAAGGTCAAGCCCGAGGGAGCTGTGATTTTCTGGCACTGCCACTGTTAGTCCAAATCCTCCTCCAAGTAAATTTCATCAAAACCCAAATCCATTTCACAATATATATATATATATATATATAGTTTTCCTTCAAGGTATGGTTATTGCCTTATTGGTACCCTTTGTTTGGTTTCTCAGAAAAATTTATATATGAATGGATGCTTGTTTATTTTTGCTAAATTTTGCAGTGGCTCAAGCTCGACGCCAACCATGGGTACTACGGAGCTTCTTAGGGCCCAAGGGCCTTCGGCCATGTTAAAATTTATATTTAATATAATTTTAGTTTAATAGTATTTTGGTTCATGTAAAACAACAACAACAACAACAAAACTCAATTCCCATATGCAATGGGGTAAGGGGGAGGTAGGGTAGTAGGCTGCCCCCAACGCCAGGTTGAGAGTAGCTTCCGTGGAAGACCTCCGGCAGTCAGAAAATTAAAAATATAGATAAAATGCAAAGCATGTATAAATAATACATAAATACATAGTTGAACAGTATTCATATGCAGTCATAAATATCATTAATATTATATGCGCGTTTGAAATGGGAAGTAATCCCTGCAAAAAAATCCATGCGAAAAAATCTCTGCAAATAGACAGAAACGTAAGACCCGACTAAATTTAAAAGTGAAGAGAACATTACACAAAAGTCCACGATAGCAAGCCCAGTTCTAAGCCTTCATAAATACCAATAACAGAAACGTATAAAAAGTAGACTTCATGGAAATTACTACAAAGGCATTAAAAGAAGACAGAGATGATACACCCTAGAGATGTGACCCACACTACTCGACTACCCTAGTCTTTAGTCTCCATACTTTCCTATCAGAGGTCATGTCCTCGGTAAGGGCTAAATCCATCAAATCAGATCTCAAGCAGTCTTCCCACTTCCGCCTTGGTCGTCCTCTCCTTCTGGCACCGTCGAATGTAATCGACTCTACCCTCCTGACCGCATCCGACGGTAGTCGCCTAAGGACATGCCCAAACCACCGTAGTCTTCCCTCCCTCAATTTTTCAGAAACAGGCACCACCCCCAAGGACATCCTAATAGTAGAGTTTGTTGTCATATCCCACAGAGTCCTACCGCATGTCCATCGAATCATTCTCATTTCTACAGCCTCTATCCTCCTTACATGATCCTTCTTGGTTGCCCAACATTCTGATCCATACAACAACGCTGGTCTTATTGCCATTCTATAAAATTTTCCCTTAAGTTTTAGAGGCACCTTCTTGTCACACAAAACTCCAGTAGCAGCCCTCCACTTTAGCCATCCCGCCTTTATACGGTGTGTTACATCATCATCTACACCCTCATCTTTATGTATCATAGACCCTAGGTACTTGAAACAATCCTTTGAGGGGAGAACGTGTCCTTCTATGCATACTTCTACATATTCATTGTTTTGGTCCCCACTGAAGTTTGAAATAAATACTCTGTCTTTTCAATATTGATCCTTAGACCTTTTTCTTCTAAAGCAGTCTTCCAGGTAGTCAGTCTATTATTCAACTCAGATTTTGTTTCAGCAACTAGGACAATGTCGTCAGCGAAAAGCATACACCATGGTACACCGTCTGGTGTCGCACAATAGATGTCGTCCATAATCAAGGCGAAGATGTTTTGGTATAATTATAATTTAAGTCATTTAAATATTAAACAAATTAGAAATTGTCTTTTGAATTTTGAGTTTTTTTTTTAAATTTAGGGTGAATATAAGGTAATATATGTACCAAGACGGTCAACTATTTAACAATGAACGCTCATACCCCTACATACGTGCTTGAAATCGGGACTTCAATGATAACAACAATCCCTTAATCAATAAGGTTGCTTGGTTCATGCTGAATTTCGAGTTTAAATACCTAATAAATCTTTATATTTTTCTTAAATAATTTAATATTTCAGTCATGCAATATTTAATTCTGGCTCTGTCCATGGTACTTCTCTTACAAATCCAACATTAGGGACACCAACAACACCCGGGATCCCTTCAACGACGTCGACCACGAGGACAAACAGCGGCATGGCCACCGTGACTCCGATATTTGGTGGTGGTGGCGCCACCACGCTGGGCCCAACGGGGACAAGCACAGGGTTCACTGATCCCAATCGTCGTGTATTTCTTTTGACAAACACCATCAACATTCTCTTCACTTTTGCCCTCACACTTTGGATTGTAGTAGGCTCCTCTTGGATCTGAGGCGGCATCAACAATTCAACATCCATGCATGTAGAGCGAAAACATGAGATTTTGGCATGACCAGTTATGTTTTAAGATTCATATATGGATATGTGCAAAGGTCATGGGAATTTGATTCCTGTCGCTCAAGTTCGACACATCAAAAGCTTCATCGTAAACGGGTTCTTGGTTTATTAGTACATGTAGGTTTGTCCCTTCCTACTAGGCCACGAGCAGCCTTTTTCACACTCATTTTCAATATTTTGATAAATCACACGTTTAATCTATAAACTATCAATTTTAATTTATTATAATACCTAAACTTTTAATTTTTTTCAAAATCATATCTGGAGTTTAATTTTTATTTCATTTTTAGTACCCACCGTTAAAAACTTTAGTTTTGGTTTCAGTTTAGTATCATTGTTCAAATTTTAACGTTAAGTTTTGAAAAAACTGAAAATTTAAATACTTAAACAAAGTAAAAGTGAAATGAAAACTAATCATTATATCTAATTTAAAAAAAATATTAAAATAAATCAAAATTAATAATTTAAATATTAAACTCGTAGTTTATCTTTTTTATATATAAAAAAAAGTCAAATTACTCAAGGACGCCATTAAGTGAACATTATTAGCTTAGAATTTAGATGATTAAAGATGCATAACACATTTATAGGAATAAAATCACTTTTGAGATATTATAAGTATATGCGTGTTAGAGCATCTCCAACACTGCACTGGAGTGAAGATATAGATGCACTTTAGAGGCTCCAGTGATACGCTAAATGCATCTCCACTTTGAAGATCTCTGGGTTTGCAACACTACATGTAGCGTGCTACTGTAGAAACACTACAAAAATCTGTTTTTTTATTTTTTATTAAATTATAAGATAGATAAAAATACATTGAAATTAAATAAATAATGACACTAATTTTTTTGTAATTTTTCTGATTTTTTATATTTTTTCTAATTTTTTTAAATTTATAAAATTAATATTATAATAATTAAATATTGTGAATAAGTAGAGTTTATGAAAATGTAGAGATAGTTCTGAAAATAAATTACTGTTTAATCTTTAGAGTAAAGATAGAGATGCTATAGAGTAGAGATAAGCGCTGGAGATGGCCTTAATACATAAAATTAAATTAAATGAAAAAATGCATAAGATAATGAGTGTAAATACATAAAATGATAGAAAAACTCGAAATAATATATAAAAATAGGCTAACGTCAATACATATTAGTAGCAAAGCAAAAACCCAGCCAGCCAGCCAGGGATGATGCCTGAATAATGTTGCACTACATAGAAAAAGGTTTTACAAACAACACACCTCAACAACAATAAACAACACTTGCAACTGCCTACTCCTCCCTTTACACAAATATATCACAAATTTTATGTCTAGGGGTCAGAACATTTTTTCCATAGCTCTTGATATAATCATACAGGGGAGAAAGGGATTTTATCAATACAATTGTCCTTCCCTTTGCGGCGGTGGTGGTGGTTGTGTCGGTTCCTGCAGCCAAGCATCCTCTTTAAACGGTTCGCCGATGTCCATCATGGCAAGTCCTTCCAACTCTTGGATTGCATCGATTGTACTGATGTTGTTTTCTCTGCTGTACTGGGACTTTAGTACTTCAACTGCTTGCTTCACTTTGGATTGCTGCAATCAACATTTTTCGATCATGTATGATACAAATATACATACCTAAGGGCGATTCGAGAACAGTAGTATGATTAAAATTGTCTCGCTTACAAAGAATTCAAGTTTTCTCTTCAGATCAGCATATGTTGCTGCTCCGCCCGATGTCTTCATATAAAAACGAAGAACAAGGTCAATGACATTAGATCAACATAAGAACATCAAGCAGAAGATAAAATTTAAAACAAAACTGAAATGCTTAGAGGCCTTGCAAAATCATAGTGCCCATATTATTGACCTAAACATCACTTAATCTACATATGATATTCCCACTCCTCGTTTTCCCCTAAAATATCGGTATCTGACACTCAAGAACGGAACTTTGATCCTCCAAATACGAGCACTGTGATGTTGCATTCATCCCAAGTCCGAGTAACATACATTATTCTCTTAAATATTCTGCATTTCTTCATCAATTATCCCCATAATCTTTGCTTAAAGGATGATTATAAGTGACTAAAAGGCTTAAGCTTGCTGTTCACTTGGAATACTTTACATTGTAAGACGCTGCATTTATGACACAGTTCTAGTCTAGTCTTCTACCAAAAACCATATATAAGTAAAGAGGTTTTACCTTCTTGGGACGGCCAACGGGTTTTCCGGTTGAAATCCTGGGCTTGGCAGCGACCCCACCGCTCTTCGGTGGTCGACCTCTCCCCTTACCACTTACGGCGACGCCGCCAGCAGCAGCTACGGTGGTACCCTTGGGCCTTCCTCTGGGTCTCGGACTAGCAGCAATGACAGTTGTAGCAGCAGCAGTATCAGCATAAGGAACGGCCACGGGCTGACCCTGGTTCGGCATAGCAGCCGGTTGAGGCAACTGGTTCAGGGCCTTAGGAGGCCGTCCACGACCCCTTTTGATCGCATTGGCCCCCACCACTGACCTCACCGTCTTAGGCTTCCTCGGTCGACCGGGACTCTTCTTAGGCCCGGTTTTGGGTGGACGACCCCGACCTTCCTAACCCCAAGTTGATCGACCGGACCATTTTTCCTCGGCCTACCGGGAGTCCTTTTAGTCACATCGGGAATCGGAGCCGGCAGTTGCTGAGCCGGAACGGTTTCATTGGCAGCAGCGGGGATTGAGGGTTTGGGTTTAGGAGGGCGACCGCGGCTTCGTTGAGGCCGGTTGAAGCATCGGGAGGAGTGGAATCGGGGATCGGAACTTCAGATCTGGTAGCATCAGAAGCAAGCTTGTAGGATTTCTTCACCATAACTAAGATGCCGTTGTTTTTCAAGCGCTTCAGGTGGTGAGTCAACAAGGCCGAGTGAGTTGGTGGCAAGTCCTTGTGAGCTGACTCTATGTACTTGGCTATAGCCCTCTTGCTTGACCCGTTGGCGTCCTTTAAACCCGAGATAGCCTCGCATATCATGTCAGTGTAAGACGGGTGGTCGAAGCTCAGAGGAGGACCACCGGCCACCGTCGTAGGCGGCTGGGGGTTGGAAGCGAAGAGAGGAGCGACGACGGGCCGGGGAGGGATCGGGGGCTGAGGAGCTACGGGGATGGAAGAGAAAAAAGAGTCCATGTTTAGGTAGGCTGAAAAGTCTGGAAAGAGATAAATCAGTAGAAAAGATGAATAAAAATCAAAATAAATAATAAATAAAAAGGTAGGTTTTAAATTTCCAATGTAATAAATAAATTTTAAACAATAAATAAATAAATAAAAAGTCAGATCTAGTTTTAAAAATAATAAAATAAATATCTAAACTATACCTAAATTATTGAATGATTGCTTAAATTATTTTTTTTTATTAATCCATGTGTCTAACGTTATAAAAGTATATATTTAGATACTCAAGCCGTCAATAAATTTAATTTTCACATTAAATAACATGTGTCACAATGTAATGATTTTAAAATCTATTTTTTAAAAATATTATTATATTTATAAGAAAAAAAAACCTTAACTTCTATTGAATTATAAAAACTCCAAAATACTTAAAATCTCCAAATTCTATCTTTAACCTGTTGCTGTCTCTTTTTTGCTACGATCACTGTCGCTGACGTAGTCTTTGTCATCCTCTTAGTTATTAGTCGTTATAGTTGCCGTTTGAGATTACGTAGGATCATAATTTTCATAATAGAGTTTGTGTGGTATAAAAAATCAATTCGTCGATAATCGGTCACGATTTATAGGGGTTTTGGTCGCAAAGGGGAGATAAGGTCGGATGGAGCTTCATCGATTGCAATAGACGATGACCGACGTGGATTTAGAGGTTGAAATGAATGTTTTCAAAGTTTTTGGGATTTTTCAAAATATTTATGTTTTCTTTAATTATATAACTTTAATTTTTTTAACTTTAAATAAAAATTTTAAAAACATTAGATTGTAACACGTATCACTTAATATGAAAATTCACGTTGTTTAAACATCTATTTGAGAATTTAAGTATAATTTGAACACTTATTTTACTATTATAATCCTGTTAAAAAAAATAAGTGGGCCCAACATTGTTATCCTCAAATAGACAGACCTCCTCTTTATTTATTTTTTTCTTTAACGGTTGTTTGTTTGTCAGGGCATCGCATTTGAATTTTATTCAAAAATTTTTCATTTGAATTTAATTGTACCCAGGAACATTATAGTCTCATGTGAGTCAGCTATGTTTAAACATAACCATTGAAAATAAAAGCATCCCCATAAATGTTCTATCAGTACCTGCTCCTCTGAGTTTTACAAATAAACTACATACAGAAAGTACCAAATCTATTACTCATTCAATATCTCTTTAATAAAAATACCTACGGAACATTATTTTATTTTCACTTGTTGTTTCAACAAGTGAAGTGTTCTTTATCCATCACATATGCGAGGAGACAGACAGCATGATTATACGTTGGGGGTAAATTTATAAAATTCAGCCAACTTATAGAATTTAAAATAAAAATAATTTGGGTAAATTCCGCGTTTAATACCTAAACTATCACAAATAGAGAAACGTCATGGGTCACTGCTAAAGTACTGAATCCGATTAAATTAGTGCTATAATCTCTTTCAGAGGTTCAAAATTCTCATGCAAAAAGTACACGTTAGCACTGACTGAAATATAAACAGTAATTAAGAGAACAAATTCGTAAACCGTGTCGTGGTAAGAACCACTGCCTTAGAAACGAATTCGCCTCGATGTGTGTAATCGCTGCAGTAGGCGGACCGTCCCCCGAGGTTAACACGGTCGCTCCGAATTCCGTACACCCGAAACCGGAGTGGACTGCTGGTGGTATTGCACTTCTGATCGGAAAGCACTCAGAGAGAACTCACAGAGAGAACTTTAGAAAACACTTTGGTAAGTGAATTGTGAATGTTTTGGAGTGAGTTGAGAAGCTGAATATAGCTCTCTATTTATAGGCTAGGGTTAAAATCGTCCATAAAATTCAGGATTAAACCTCTTTGTAACAGCTGAAACGTAGATGAACCTGACTCAGAAATAGTCCAGGTTCATTGTTCATTCAGCTGTTAAACTCCCGAAATATATCATGTAACCCCTGGAATTAAATCAAATAACTCCTGATATTTACAGCTTGTCTCCTCTGTACAAAGCTGTAAATCAGTCTAGGTACATCTTAACGTTTCTGATTTAATTTAGGAATAAACTGACCACGACCACGACCACGACCGGCGGCGGTGCGCGAGAGCCCCCCTTGTTCTCTATCACTCAACAAGGAAGTAGAATGTCAAGCCTTAAATACCATTCCCAATAGTGTTTCCAACACTATGTGGGATTGAGCATTACCAACATTATGTATAAGGATTTTAACCATTAAATGTACAGGAAAGCCAAGCACAATCCGAGCTAAAATATAGTTCTGAGTTTTAAGCCACATTAACCTCGATTACATTCGGACAAACCGGGCCTTCCTCTGGCAGTAATCCTTCATAAATTCCAAGATTAATCTGGCAACAGAATCCGGCTTCTCGACATGAGGATGCCCGCAATCCGGTATTTGCCGAACAATCGCGTTCGGCAGTTCACAGTGCAGTCTCTGCAACATGCAACTGAACAAGTTAATTTTTCATTCGGCTACTGTATCAGGAGTGTTCATGAAGTTCAACATTTTAGTAAATCAACGCCGGAGCTACGATCCATACATTATTATTATTAGGCCTTATTATTATTATTATTTCTCAATGTGATGTTATGCCTGTAAGGAGCAAAAGTTTGAGTTGCTAACCACTGCTAGCTTGTTGCTAATAATTTGATCATCCTCACCCCATATGATAAGTGTCTTCTGCTTCACCTGTACAAATATATTTACAAGTTGCATGAAAATCTACGCATTTTATTGCACTTCTATCTGATATAAAACACACAAACTTCTGCTCAAAATGAAGAAAACTACTCTTTTATTTATTTTAGGTTAAACTATACGTTTAGTACCCTAACTATCATTTTTATTTCGCTTTGGTGACCCAACTATATTTTCTTCAAAATCATACCTGACGTTTAGTTTTGGTTTCATTTTGGTCACCTGCGGTTAAAAAGAATTGGGACACACCTGATCTATCTCTCGGGAGACGTTGTAGCCACTAATCATAAAACTCACAGTTGCATCCTCCCCCAAAGGATACAGGCAATGCAATCTACCTATCTGGACAGGGTTACAAGAAATAGAATAGCTATTAGATTCCCCCTTCAACCTGCAAAATTGAAAAATGTACCAGCTTCCTGGAATAGACAACAATTCATCTGATAAATATTGCATTACTTCGCATAACATCATTTTAGTGAGGAAAACTTACATTAGTCCAGTCTAAACTGGTGTTGAATGGCACACCCTTGAATGCCAAAAATGTTGTATATAACCGTAGTGGGTAACTCTTCAATATAGATACCTAAGTGAGAGAAAAAACTACTTATTATATTGCTCTGACTCTTCATTTTGTTTTTAGTACCCATGTCCGACATATATGGGGGTATATATATACACACATGATCTTCCAAGGACCGCCCTCCAAACATGAATACTTGAAAATATTGAAAACCACATATCGTGTACATATCTGTATCCAGCGCTCACATTCAAGTCAGTGGAACATAGATTTAACATAGGCCTCCCCCTTCTCAAAAAGGAAAGGAAGTGCACAACATTGATTGAAATTAAAAAGGTCGACAAAATTAAGGTGGAAAAAGCTAAGGAAAATGAGATGAATCGTTTAACATGTCTGATGTTTATTTCCCAAACAACGCTGATAAGTTGTTAATGAAAACCTTTTGTTGTCTTTACTATGAAGGTGAAAGATTCAATGAAAGGAGCCAGAACGATCAAAATGAAAATGTAGAACAATTTAGTTGAGGAACAAGAAAAAAGCTTTGTTCATAACACATAAGGGGTCCTAGAAGGATTCCAGGTGGAGAAATAAACGATACATGGCAACTATAACAGCAGTGATTTCCATCAAATTGCGATTCAAAGTTCACAATAGTAGTCAAGAAGACTAACCCCAGCATAGGCTGCTGCACGAGGTAACTTTGCTAGGTTACCCGTGCCTTCCGCGTAGACACTTGCATCAATCAAAACAAGATTTTCAACCTAAACAAGATGTAACTGCAGGTAATGAGCTTCATGGAGCATCAGAGCATTTATTGGTGGATTTTATACCAAACTATAACTCCTCTCCAACTAATCTAATGGGTTAAAGGATCATATTCTAAATTGTCTAAGATGCGCACAGCTTCCGGGTTTGACCGCAAAATCAATTGCAACAGCAGCGCCCAGACTTGGTCCGACCAATATCATTGGCCTTTTGTGTATACTTCCAGAGCTGTATATCAGAGATAGCAAGTTTAGTCTCAACATCATGAACTACAACAAGAGGAAGCTGAAAACAGGGAAACCACATTATATATGCTAAAAAACTAGCATCAATACCAATATGTTCAACAACTCGCAGTGATCTGATTTCGACCTTAACACTTTTGTATAAGGTTTCTTCTATGAACTGAAAACATGCTAGTGATAAAAGAGTTACCTGATAGAAATGCTCACGCTTAGATTCCACATCACATGATCGAATTCTTTCTAAAAATGAAAATAAAAAGTAAACAAGGAACAAAAAGTGAGGAACGTAAGCGCACGCAAAAGCAAAACAAACCTAAATTAGAGAAACCCCAACCAAGAATGTCACAGCCCAAGTTTCCAAACCAGCCTCTTCAAGCAATGGAAAGGTGTATCTCCATTCTAAACAAGAACTGAACGATAATAACATAATACTTGGTGAACTCTTACTCCAGCTAATCGCTTATTTGCTTTGCATGACTAGAATGAGCCATCAATTGTAAATTAGTTAAAAAGGAATATCAAAAGACCTGTCAAAGCCATGAAGGAGAACTACTGGATTTGCTTGCTCTGAATCAATGGCTTCACGCAGCTACTCATAATGCTTTTCTCTGAGAATCTAACCTGCAGTGTTAAGATAGAATTCGCCAATTTTAAGTCATATAAATTGTGAATGAAAGCAAAACAAATAGGAAAAATGATAAGAAGAGAAGGATTACATTAACGGGTAATCTTTGGATTCGGGTGGCG